AATTTTTATTTTTTAAAAATAAAATTAATAATTTTTATATGTTTATTAAAATATTATATAATTTTAAGATTAATTATATAATTTTTATAATTCAAAATTTATATAATTAAATCATTTTATAAATAACCTTTATATATATGAAATTTTCATAAAAATTACAAAAATTTAAACATTGTATAAAACAAATTTTTTGGTTAAACTTATCAAAAAAAAATTTTCTACAAATTTTTTAAAAATAATCATTTGTTAATAATTTTAACATTCAGATAATATTTGATTAAAATAAAATAAACTATAAGAACCTAATTCAAAATTAAAGAAAACTAAAAGGACTTACAAATTAATTTTTCTTTTTATAAATAGGATGGGAGGGAGCAGTATTTAAGATGATGCACTTGTATGAATGAGTAAGAAATTTAACAATCTAACATGTGGACTCAGTGGTTGAATCACATTACAACGAGGATGTGCGAATATATCCCCTCACTCAGGAAAAAATTTCAAGTAATGCATGTAAATTTTACAACTTTGCACTCCCTATTTAACATTCTAAAATTTATCCTATTGATTAATTAAGCTAATAAAAAATAATTATGTAAATTTAAGTATAATTAGGTTTAAGGATGGTTAGAGATGGCTAAGAGGCCTATTGAGTTTAACTTTAGCCATTGGATTGGATTTGAAAGTTAATTAGATCACCTAGGCTCAAATTGAAGAGAGAAAATTAGAATTTAGCCCACTATGCATTTCACTGCAACATAATGTCAAAAATTAGATTTAAGAAGGCCTTTGTGTGTGTGAAAATAGAAAGCAACAAGGGAAGAACAAAGGGATTCGTGATTCTCTCTGCTAAGGGCATAATTTTGCTAGTATTTTGGGGAGATTTAGTGCTTTTAATCACAATGTAAGTCTCCCTTACTATTCCTCTTCCTCTTTACTCCATTTTTAAGTTAGGATTTGTACTTGGAGGATGATTTTTAAATCTCAGGAGCTTTTGGTCTGAACCCATTGACTTAAATAAAGTTAATGAGAGTTATTTTAATTATGTTAGCCTAGAAATGGTGGTTTTATGCATCAATGAGAGTGGGCTTTCAATAATGGATGGATTCATACATTAAAGTGCCATTTGTGATGAATGTTTGGGTTGTTGGAAGCCACTAATAGTGGTAGATGGGTTTAATGAAGTTAGTTGGAGCTAATGAGAGTTAATAAACCTAATGTGATGATTAAACTCTAGAGTTGATAGTTTTAGGTGATTAAAATATTAAAATTTGAGAGTTGAAAGTGAGTAATTTGTGACATTGATGATGATTTGGATTGTTGGATGATATATTAGTGATTATTTAAGTTGTTGAGAGCCAAATGAAGTTAATTGAAATTAATGAACTCATTAGATGTGAGGTTGATCTTGTAGTTGAGAAATTTGGTTATTAAAATATGAAATTAGATGTTTAAAGTGGTGATTTTGATCATTATTAGCAATGGGTGTAATCTTAATTGTAGACTAACCTTATGAAGTACTGATGAGTTTGAATTTAGCTTAAAAAGCAAGTTGTGATTGGAAGGTAACCTTTGACCTTTCAAAGATTTGAGGCAATTGAGAAAAATCTTACTTTTATTTTTGCATGTTATTTAGTTACTTGGTTTTTATAAACTATTGTCAAGATATGTGACGGCATTTTTATGCAACTGTGGCATGAAATATTCAAAAATCATATATTATGATTTATGAGATATGGAAAATAAATATGTGTGAACTTACAAATAAAACGATTGTGTTATGATAAAAATGATGATGTTAAATTGCATGCTAATTATGATGATTATATGTATGGCATGATCATTTATGGTGAGAGTTTGTATAGGAAGAGGAATAGTGATAAATTCACATGATATTGGTGGCTTACCATTGAAATAGAAAGCTACCAGCTAGACTGCTAATCATTCGAATAGGGAGGTAGTCGTTGTCTTATTGTTGTTGTTCTGCAAGTGACTCAAACCTAACGAATCTCCATCAATTCATGAGGAGATTAGTTTAAGGGTATGACACTTTATATCTATTAGTATTGGAGGAAACCTGACTCATAAGTGAGTGTAGTAGTCTTAGCTGGGTAGCTCCTCACAAGTGAAAAGCTTGAGTAGTTTGATGATAAGGATGAATATCACTAAATAGCCTCTAGTTTCATGTTGGAGGTATTAGGAGAATATAAGGTTGGCGTTGCTCATGCATATCATTATATGGCCACATGGTTGTTATTTTTATGGTCTTGAATGTTATATAAATGGCACGTGTTTGTTAGTGTTATGACCCTTACATGCTAAAAAATATAATGTCACATGATTGTTAGTTTTGTGATTATATAAATTGGGTGGTTTAATATGTGAATATGTTTCATTTGAATATGCCATTTGCATCACTATAATTAATTAACATGTATTAGCATATGTTTGATACCTTAGTTATTGAGTAGTTATTGAGTAGTTTGATGATAAGGATGAATATCACTAAATAGCCTCTAGTTTCATGTTGGAGGTATTAGGAGAATATAAGGTTGGCGTTGCTCATGCATATCATTATATGGCCACATGGTTGTTATTTTTATGGTCTTGAATGTTATATAAATGGCACGTGTTTGTTAGTGTTATGACCCTTACATGCTAAAAAATATAATGTCACATGATTGTTAGTTTTGTGATTATATAAATTGGGTGGTTTAATATGTGAATATGTTTCATTTGAATATGCCATTTGCATCACTATAATTAATTAACATGTATTAGCATATGTTTGATACCTTAGTTATTGAGTAGTTATACCTACCTCTTATTTAAAATTTTACAGGTGCTAATTTGGGTTAGGATAAAGGGAAAGCACCAGAGACTTAGGATCCTTGTTTCCTAATGTAGGCCTCTTTATTTTGATATGTGTGTGTGTGTGTGTGTGTGTGTGTGTGTGTGTGTGTGTGTGTGTGTGTGTGTAACTAATTTGATAATGCCAACTAGGAAAATGCATATGTTGATATTTCTCACACCATTTAATTGTTTATACTAATTAGTTGTATTTTAGGCCCTAGAATGGGATGTGATTTGAAAAGTCTGAGTAAGGTCTAAAATATTGGTACAAGTATGATTTTGAGCTTAAGATGATTGTAATTGAAGATTGTGAGTTTTGATGTTAAAATGACTCTCTCCTTGCTTTTGATGAGTTTGGGGTTGAAGGTTAAATTCTTGAAATATGTGATATCTGGTTATTATAGTGTTATATAGATTGTTCTAAGTCTATTGAGTGCGGTCTAGGTATTGAGTTGCGCTTTTGGCACTCGGTGTGAATTTTGAACACCTAGGTTGTGGTTTAAGGGTGAAAATGTGTTAGTTTGTATTTGGGTGTCCAACTTGTGATTGGGTTAGAGTTTAGAAATGAAACTAGTGCCATTAGTTAGAGTTTTGAAAATTTTTTTTGTTAACATATAGATCACTTTAATCAGATGTCGAATGAAGATTTAAGATGCATCAGTAGTTTGACAAGAAAATCTGCCATAACAGTATGGGTTCTGTATTTTATGCCTCAGTGTAAAATGTTATGTTATGGCACAATTCCAAATTTCACTGAAGTTTGCTTGCTACGCCTTATGCCATAGTGTATTTGCGTTATGCCATAGTATATTGTGCCAGAAATATTGTTTTGACTCTTTTAACCCTAAATTGATTTGTTACCTTATATCGTATGATTTTCACGCTTTTGTATATATTTTTACTCTATCTTAAATTTGTTTATATTTGATTTTAAAGTTTAAGTTATTAAACTTGGGACCTAACCTTGGAAGGTTTATATTTTCAGATAAAGTTGTTAGATTGTAAAGTAAGTTTTCTAATACTTGTTTTAAAAATTTTTAAACTATAGTAGACTTTTGATTTGTTTTTTCCTTCCTACTATTGTTACCTTTTTAATAACAAGTTAAATTCTACAACTATAATTTGATAATCATATGATTTATTTCATACTTACCACAGAGGTTTTGACTTAATGATGAGGTAATAAGGAGAGCATTACACCTTACTTTTGATATTTTACATCTTTTGGATTAAATAAAAATATTGATACTAAAAACTTATTAAATATATAATATTTTATTAATCTAAATAAGATATAAAGATCATATTTACAATAAAAAATATAAATACCTGTTCAATAAATTTTTTAAAAAAGAAAAATGATGACCAATCTATTTACATTATTATTGTTTTAGTTCTGGTGTAATTATTATTTTAAAAAAATATTAACATTTTTATTAAATTATCTAGCACCACTTAACTCTAGATCGTGCTACTCACATTCTACTCAAGTGTGTCCCCCACCCAAAAAAAAAAAAACATCCACTTTGCCTTTTAATTCTTCATCTTCATTCCATACAAGTACTTCAGACTACAATGCTTCACAAATGAAGCTATTAGCTGCAGGGTAACAAAAGAAGCTAAAAAAAAAAAACACATTCAAAAACTTGATAAGAATGTCATTCGCATGTAAGGATTAAAAACAAATCATCATTCGAAAAAAAAGGTTCATATTTTTATTTTAATAATAATTCATTTTCTATTAATCATTGTTTATGAATAATATTATTTGTGAGTCTTTGGATGCAATTTTTCCTACGAAAAAAAGGGAGAATGACATTTAAGACCCTTTTAAGAAAATTTATTGCAATAAGAACTTATTAGTTTTGCTTTAAATATTATCTTATATAAACATGTATATATTGTTAAAAGCTAAACCTTAACTTGTTAAACTTCTAAAAAAACCCTAATAAAAAAATACAAGTTAAGGTTTAACTTTTAACAATATATATATATATATATATATATGTTTTTACAAGATAATATTTGATACCAAAGTGATGGGTCCTTATTGTGATAAAATTTTTTGAAAGGGCCTTGAAAGTCATTCTACCAAAAAAAGAAAGACCACGTGCCAAAGGCCTAACAAAAGTTTAGCAACGAGAACCTAAAATTAAAAGGCTTCATTTCCAACTCTTGAACCAATTGAGATGGTAAGTCCTAAGGATTTCATGTCCATCCCTAAAATTATCACTCGAAAGATACCTAACATTACTGGATCCAGGCCATGATCGTCTCTACAAATCAGAACTGATTCCACAAACATCTTCAGAAACAGATCTTCCCAATATCATATCCATATTTCTAATATGTTCTGTTTTGTGGATACCTAAACTTTGTTGATTTAGGCCATGCAGATGATAGTTGCGTGGTAGAAATGAGTCTAACATGTTCTTTTCATGGGGACCTAAACCAGCTGTGTGGTAGAAATGATTCCAATATGTGGATTTCTAAACCATGCAGATGAGCGGTAGAAATGAGTCCAATACGTTCTTTTTGTAGGGACCTAAACTCTGTTGATGTAGGCCATGCAGATGATAGCTGCTTGGTAGAAACGATTCCATGATCATGACCAGAAATTTGTCCCCCCAGTATCATATCCATATTTCTAACGTTCTGTTTCTGGATACCTGAATTTTCTTTATGTAGGCCATGATGATCTCTGGGGATGGGTTCCTTCTTCATTGACAACTTGAACTTGAATGTGCTACACTTACCTAAGGGGAAAGACTCATCAGACCTAGACCCATCACCTCGCTTGTTATTATAACCAAGATAATCTTCTTTTTTGAAAACAACACACTCTATCGGCCATAGAAAGCTTTGTATCCCAAGTTCCCTTATGCACCAATGATCATACGGTGGTTTGGTCTTGTGATTTACGTGAATTTCACCGTCAAGTCTAAGCATGCTTCCTGCATTCATAAAAAACCCACGTACAAGGTTCTTGTGTTCCCTGGAAATGCCAAAAAATGGATGCTTATAGCCTTCACATGCACTAACTGAAGGGGAGTTCATAATAATAATTCACTTATAATGTCATTTTAAACAATATAAGAATATAGCAATCAACATTCACAATTGTTATGGATAGTTAAACTAATTCCTTTAACTCTATCTAATTATATCCAAACCAAGACAACTGAAACCAGACAAGTGTGTGTAGAGAGAGAATAGAGACTTAAATACGAACATGCATTACAGACAAAATACAAACACTGAATGCCAACTTTAATGTGGGAGAATTATGTTGAAATTTCATAAAAAAAAATAATTAGTACAAAGTTCATTAAACAAATAAACTAAAGCTATTGATAATATAATATTGTTAATAGTCTTAATTCAGTTGTTAATAAACTTTATAGTAATTAATTTTTTTACGTATAACTTGTATATAATTCTCCCCAATAATATTCATAATATGTATTGATCAAAAAGTCCTTGCTTTTATTTTGATACATGACATAGAGGTACTTTGATATTTTCTTTATGAAGAAATTATCAATGCAAGAGGATGGAAATCATTTCCTCACAATGTATTAAATGCAAGATTAAGATGAAATGACTTAAATACCCCCACACATGCATTGTTTTCTAGTGGATGTACTCAAGCTTATTAATTAAATTAATCAATGTACAGTGACAAACCTGCATGCTCGTGAGTGTGGGAACTCGGCCCCACGGCCCCATTTGTTTTTGCAAAAACTACATGCAAGGCATGTAATATTTATCTTTTTCAACCCCACTAGTTTTAATATTTTCACCCCACCGAGTTTCAATTCTAGTTAGTTTACCCTTTTGTCCCCACTAACATGGCGTTTTGGATTCGCTAAAAAATTTTTGTTCTCATTTTTAACATGGTCAATAGATGCAGACATTATATTCGATTCTTGCCTTTGAAAAAAAGGTAAATTTTACCATTGGACATTTGGATGACATTTGCACATACAATATATTGAAACACTAGATGAGTATCGTAATCTTCTGAGACTTTTGAAAATAATTCATGAAAAATTTAGGCTTTACATATATTTAAAAAATGCCATTCCAATATTATTTAGGACATCTGCCACTTATATACTTACAGAAATTTCATATTTACTATAGCCTACCATCTTGTCCATAAGTCGCCATATGCCAGAAAAATTAAATTGTTCATATACCAGACCATACAACAGCTTTAATTGAAAATCATAATTTTGACCACTACTAATTGTCAAGTGAAATCTTTTAGAAAGGCTGTGAATCTTTTCATTTCTATTATATATCTATGGTCTAAAAGCTTAAAAGTACAATTGTAAAATTACAAAAGACTGTTCTCACATCAAAATCAAAATATACAATGACACCTTTACAAGTCAAATTTTCACAAGCCCCATGTATACATGATGCAACTCATCTATAGAAACTGTGTAACATGAAAAAAGAAGTGTCTAATCATATATTAGCATATTCGTAATACATACATGCATACATATATTAGAATGTTAAATAAAAGCAAAATGAATTCTAACGGGGAACTCACTGAATCAGGGAGAAGCTGCTTTCTTTGCCATGAAAACCTGCATGAGGGAAATTGAATATAATTCTATCAAATTTCCTCATTTTCAAGTCATCATGAGATTTCATTTCGGTTGCATCAACTCCGTGCAACACCATTGCTCCTAGCCTTGTCAGGGCAAGTACATTTGACACGGCTTTCTCGTACTTCCTCAAAAGTTGTTCTTGATGAACAGGAAAAGCAATCAATGACATAACTAATATTTACAACTGTATTAAAAGCAACAAATTAAATAACATGCACAAATGTAATAACTGTTCATTTCGAGAACAAAATCTACGAGATGCTTAAAGGAAAATGGAAGAATAGCATATAAACACAAGAACTTTCACATATCGTGGAGAATTAGAAAACTAGATGTAGCTTTTTGAAAGGAGAAGAAGCAAGTAAAGATTAGTTGCTTGACTTCTCTTTGTAGGGTATGCAATATACAAACGATGAAAAAAAAAAATCAAATGTCAAAATTCCCTATTTGCGTGGAGTTAAATACCGATTATCAATGATCCCTTCAGCAAAATCGCAGAGCATAGCTTGACTTCGTTTCAATGCTTAGAAAAGAACAAGGAATAGGAATCAAACTCACTTAGATGAACATATTCATCGTTTTGCGAACAACTAAGGGACAATAATAGTGATTTCAAGAGCGAAAACAAATAAACAAGCCCAGAGAATTCAAAAGCTCCTGCAATAACTTAATGTAGTATTAGTAAGAAGCATCATCATCAAGAAATCACCAAAACCCTATACTATTATAGATAGCCCAGTATTCAAGTTAATATCTTTCACGACGAGGGGCAAAAAACTGAAGAAGAAGAAGAAGAAGAAGAAATGTAAACGTAAGAGCAGAGGAAGAGTGAGAGACCGAAAGTGTCGAGGGAAGAAGCAACGATGTTGACAGCAGAACCAAAGGATTGAGCCAAGCAAAGGGAGAAGGAGAAATCACCCTCTCCCACCAAAAGTATTTGATGATGAGAGGAATAATATTTCATCCATTTTTCTTTTGATTCTTCTTCTTCAACGCTCAAACCCAGCGTCTGCACTCTTGCCATTGCGTGTGTAAGAAGCTTTCCGTCAACGAGACTCCTAAAGCCGAAGCTAAAAGTCAGAAGTTTGTTCTTTGGGAGTCATCGAGTAGTCCGGTTCGATGAGCACCATGATGAGCAATCTGAACCTTTATAGGTTTTATTTTTTATATTTTATTTTATATTATTAGAATAAAATTATAAATAATATTTTCTCTTTAAAAAATATAAAGCATTTTGAATTGAATTTCATCTCAATAAAATAATTATTAGTCTTTAAATTAATTCTATCTTTCTATATTTACTCATATTTAATAAAATATTTGACCTTAAAATAAATATAAAGTGATTTATTTAATAGCGATACTTTTGCAAAAAAAATAATGATTACACTTTTAAACACTAAAAATGTCTTACAATTTTAACATCTAACTTCTCAAAAAATGCTTTACATTTTGAATGAAGGGAGTAATAAATCTATTATACCATCAATCTAGACAGTGGACAATATAAAATTAATCTGGATGATTTAATTTAATATTAAATATTTTTATTATTTTTATAAAATTGACTATCGAAATGTACCTTGAATAGTCTAGATTTAAATTTTCAAGTTGCAATATTTTCTTAATTTTTTAAAGTGTTAGTTTGAAAATTATCTTTATTTTTATTTTTTAATAAAGAAAATTAATTTTTTTAGTCTTTCAATTTTTAACTCATTTGTAACTCAATCTCTCAAATATGACTTGTTATAACTCAGTCTTTTAACTTTTGACTTAGCTGTAACTCAATTCCTTAATTTTTGTTAATTCTCTTTTTTCGTGTTAGCTTAAATCCCACATCAAATTGCAAGAAGAGGGTATTTTATAATAAGATATAACTATTTCTTTTATCTTTTTTACTATTTGATAAACATAATTTTTTTAAAAAAATTAAAAAATAAGGACCGAGTTATAAGTGAGTCAAAATTGAGGGATTAAGTCGCAGTGGATCATAGTTAAGGGATTAAGTTATAAATGATTAAAAGCTGAAGAACTAAAAAATTAATTTTTCCTTGTAATATTATATTAACTAAAATAAAAATTTATAAATATTCTAAAAATGTTTATTATTAAATTCATACTACCTAGAATATATCCTGATAGTCAATTTATAAAATTTATAAAAAATATAATATTAAGTTAGATCATCTAAATTAAATCTGTATTATTTAAATTGATCATAAGATAAATTTATTAAAATTTTATTATTATTTATAATAAATATAAGATAAACATATTAACAATAAAATTTTAAAATGATGCTCATAAAGTGATGAGCATCACTTGATAAGCACCGACACCTATCGCGTCATATATCATTGTGGCAAATCAATCTTTTTTCCTGGTGAATCGTCTTTTGAGCCGTGATATCTGATTGTTCTATTTTTAATTTATGAACCACTACTAATTGGAGTTGGTTCGAGTGATAAATGACTAAGTTTTGTTTAAGCAAAGGTCTCGAGTTTGGGTTTTGCATATGTAAAAAACTTTTATTGAGAGATTCACCTATCATAGCTAGGTGCTTAACACTGGTTGGATACAGATTAGTCAAAGCGAAGCTCTAGATACCGGGTGGGCAATAAAAAAAAATTGAACTAGTTAAAAAAAATATTCTGGAAAAAGGTCAAAAATTATTATTGTATTTCTTACCAGAGGAAAAAGAATCTTCAAGACTAATTATTTTTTTTAAATATAACTTTAGATCCTTATACTTTACTTATATTTTGCTATAAGTTCATATACTTTTTTTGATGTTTTAAATTCTTATATTATATTTTTTGGAGGAAAAACAAAAGTGTAGGAGCATGGCATACCAAAAAAAAAAGTACAGGACCTATAGTAAAAAAATGAGTAAAATACATAAACCTAATTTTTTTTAAATTATAACAAAATCCACATGTACGAGTATTTTTTGTCAATATATTATTATTATTATTTCTTTTTGCTATAGAATTGGGCCAAGAGTTATAAATTTTGCCAACACAAAAGTGAGCTCAAGTCTTTTTTTGTTAACAATGCTCACTCCAACTCCTTTTTACTTTCTTCGACGTGGGGCTTGGATAGGAACGCGTAAAGCATAAGCAAAGGTTGCTCCCCCCCCCCCCCACTTCCTTTTATTCTCATTAATTTACATTTATTAATTCATCTTACTTAATTCTTAAACTATTTTTATAATATAAACATAAACCTTTAATTTTTATACTTCTAATTCTAGTTATTTATCTATATTTTTATATGAAGTTTATATTTTCAATTTAGTTTTAACAAATCTCCTAAAAATAACTAATAGTTTGTCATACTTTTTATGTGATTGATATTTATTCATGAATATTGAATAAGTTTTCCCCCTTAGTCTTAGCTTTCAATTTCATTCATCTTAGATTAGTTTTTTAATCATTATTAATATATAGTAATTCTTTTTAAATAATTATTATAAATATTATTCACTAATAAAATGGTATATTTCATTAAAAAAGGAGTAAAAATTCCTAAAATCTCATTTTATGAATTTAATCTCATAAAATAATATTTTTTAGATATTACTTATAACTAGTAAGTATCCTTTGCGATGTGCACGATATGTGAAAGTAAATTTTTAGTATAAGTCATAACTAATTAATTATTATTAATATGTCAAATGATAAAATACAATTTAATATTTTTTTAAGAATTAATTAAATGGCCTCAACCCCAAATGGTAAGGTTGTGGAAAGTAAATTTTTGTATCTTAACCCCTTCGTCTTAGAACCGTGCAATTATCAAATTATCACCGTCCAAGTCAGTTTTTAACTTTTAAAAATGAAAATAAGATAATTGAAAGCTAAGATGATACGAAAGTGGTAGGGATAATTGGTGAGGAATAAGGAAAAAGGGAAATTAAGATAAAAAAACTTTCAAGATGTAATTTTTATATAATTTCAAAGCACAAATACAATTCAATAAAAAAAAAAATCTACAGTTTACTAAAGACCATAGAATGAAACTGAAATATGATGAAAATATTTTATCAATTATGACTGAATATATAAAAAGATTCATAAACCAGAAAAAAAAATTAACATTTTGCTTCAGCAAATAATATAATCATTTATCTTAATTACAAAATGTGAAAAAATCCAACACCAACTGAGAACGAAGAACTAAAAATTGTCTTCAACTGAAGTGTTCATGCCACCAAACTTAGTGAAAAAAAAATTCAATAAAAGAGAAAAGAGTGAAAAACCCAATAATTCTAAAGCAAGTAGAATTAGAATGCCAGAAGATTTGCAGGAAAATTTTTATTCCCACCAAATATGATAATGGTTACAGATTAGCATAAGACAATGCATATACCATATAGACAAAGAAGAACTCAAGAGATAATTAATATATAAATCAGAGAAAAAGAATAAGTCAAATGTATGACATGGAGATGTTGAAAATCAATAGCATGTTTTTCATTTGGTGTATATTCCCTTCATGTTCATACAAACATCTTCACGTGATTGCTATCTTAATGCCTTGTAATTTTCCTAGGTAAGGATGGAGCACAGCAAAGAGGAGGCTCTTGTTCGAAGGGGAATAGTTGAGGGAGGCATTGAGGGGACATATATTGAGAGATCATGGAGGAGGTAAAAATAAAATAAGGAGGTTAACATGAAAGTAACATGCAAAAACATAGACCTACAAATTCGGGGGAAATTAAATTAAGAGGTAGTTATTAGAATAAGAAAATATATTTAATAATTGTTAAATAAATTAATTTAAATAAAAATAATTGTAAGATATGATAAATCACAAATTTTGAAATACAAAAATAAAGAGAATATGATATGATATTAGATAATAGAGATCATGTGATACGGACGTTATTCGTGACTTCAAAAATTTGCATTTAAATCTAAATATTATAAACTTAAAATATTTAAATTAATAGAATTAATAGGTATTAAAGGGTAGCTATTAGAATGAGCAAATCTATTATACCAACTAAATAAATTGATTCAAATTTAAATAATTTTAAAATATGATACATCACAAATTTTGAAATCCAAAAATAAAGGGGCAGTGATATTAGAGAGTAGAAATCATGGGATATGGAAGTTATTTATAATTTGAAAAATTTGTATTTAAATCTAATTCAAATTTTTTTTTCATATCATGGGTAGTTTCTTTTTCTGTTTTAATGAGAAAAAAATGAGTTAATATTGAATTTTTGTATTAGGAATTTAAAATTTTATAATGAGATAAAATGATATGGAATTTAGGATAACAAAAATAAAGAGAGAGAGAAGTTGAGAAGCAAATAGTTAAAGAAATTAATAAGTGAGTTAAGATAATAAAACTTACAATTATGATAATGGAGATTATGGGAGTAAGGATTAACAAGTAAATGAGAAATAAAGTAAGAGTATAAATTAAAATTAATTTCTCAAACTGATCCTACATGGTTTCGCGAAATGGAAGTATTTGAAAAGCTAGGAAACATGTCATTCATGGAGATAGGCTTATTATACCTTTATTGTATATATAGAGATAATATTTAATATATATAATTTTTAATATAATACTTTAATCATAAACAGTCAGACTACGGTTCAATTTCGGTTCCATCATTAGCCTGTGAACTGTTATTTCATAACTGATCGGTTCGGTTTTTAAAATCTTTCTTTCATCCATTCTTTTAAAGTTTTTATTCTTTTTTCCCCTCAAATGACTCAACGCATAGGTACATAGCCAAAACAAAAGCACTGGTACAAAGCCTGCAAAGGTATTGCGCATTGCGTCTACCTTCCACGAAATCAGGGTTAAGACTTTAGAGGACACTTCCCTTCTTCCTTAAGTCAGCCTTTTGCTTTCAGCCGTTCATTTTCTTGTCCTCGTGCGATTCCTCGTCATAACCTTTTTGCGTCCTGACTGCATTCAATCATTCACCTTCCTCATCCTTTTCTAGTTTTCTTTGCGTCTCAGGCTCTTTTCACTCATCTTTCTTCTCTACTTTCTTCAATGTATCTTTCCTTTTCATTCCTTCTTATGATCTCTTCCCCTTTTTTCTTCCTTCTTCTTCATCCCTTTCCTTCTTGT